TAAGAAATACAAATTCAAAAGGGTGCATCGAAAATGGCGCCCAGAAAGCAAACAAAAACCAGTGAGCAGAGCAGTATAGTCGGACATGGCTGACCACTTTCTGTGGCAATGTTTCGCGATATTTGTACACTCTAAATCGATTAGAGGTCAACCAATATTACTAATATTCAGTACAACCCTTCTAATTTCTTGGCAGTATTTCCTTCACCGTTGGTTGTGTTGCGATGTTTGGCTTTCAATTGCGGCCTATAGATATAAAGAATTAAATTCTCGGTCCAGTTCATCCCAAAATTATTTTCTGATCATCACCGAAAATTATAGGCGTTGTCATTGACCATACATGGATCCTCATGGAAAATTTCAAAGCGATCAAAGCTATATTTCCGCCCTCTTGTGAGGTAATGATTTACTAAATAATATCTGTATACGTAAGCATCTGTAAATATTTAAGTGTAACTCCCACATCCGAATACATACAACAATTTAAATTTAAAGGATTTCGGAGTTAATACAATTTTTTAATTTTTCACACAAAAGTCAGGGTCCATTTGACCCGCCAAATATTGACCAATCTTTATCAAAACAGTCATGCTCATTCTTTGGTCCGATCCCCTACTCCATGTAAAATTTCGCGACGTTTGGGCCATAATTGCGGTCTCTGGAGCGACCAGAAAAACCGACAAAAATGTAGTATTTGGTCCATTTCATCCCCTAAATATTAACCGATCTTTACCAAAAACAATAGGGATCTTCATTGGCCCGAACCCATCCTACATACAAAATTTCTTGAATATTGGTCCATAGCTGTGGACTGTATCGTGTTTACAAATTATAATGGACAGATGGACGGACGGACACACATGTCTAGATCGACTCAGCTAGTCGAGATATGACGAGATATGATCGGTATGCTTGAAGGTGGGTCTATGACCAATATTTCGCGGTGTTACAAACTCTTGGGGCTGCACAAAACTATACTACCCTGACAACACATAATAATGTTTTTAAACCATTTCATCCCCTAAATATTATCCTATCATTACCAAAAGCAATAGGAGTCGTCATTGGTCCAAACTGAACCTACGTCAAGATTGATCCATAAATGTGGATTGTATCGTGTATCGGACGGACACACATGACTGGAGCGACTCAGCTAATCAAGATATGACGATCGGTATACTTAATGCTGGATCGCAGCGACTCAGCTAGTCAATATATGACGATCGGTATACTTAATGCTGGATCGCGGCGTTACTTACTTTAGGGGCCACACAAAGCTATAATACCCTGACAAAAAATTTTTGTAGGATATAATTACAAATTATAGAGAAGTCCAATAAAAAACGTGTACAACATCCCCAAACGGGTTCCGTTATATTGAAATAAAAATTTGTGAGGCAAACTCTACATTAGGAAACCTTACTATTTTGGTAGAAAATGTGTCCAAGTAGCGAATATTGGGGTTGCCGTTATATGGACCTACCCTGAAACATGAATTAATATTAAGAATTTTTAATAGGAAGGTTCGCTTTAAGGTTTCTTTCCAATACCCCATTTGAATACTAAAACTTCTAGCAATAACTGTGCACAAATTCAAAGATATATTTTAATTATTGTGATCTCTATCTGATTTCAACAGATAGACAGAAAAACGGACATGGCTAAAATTTCTATTGTATATACCCAAAGTGATGTAGGTTGTCATATAGTTTGCCCGTTCGACATTTGGATCCATACTGGTTTTCCATTTATCTTATTTTTTATTTCTGAGTTCATGTAAACTATTTTAAATATACAAAGACTATTTCGAGTATTCTTTCTCTACTTTAATATTTCGCAATTCATAAATATATCATATATTGCAAGGACATTACTAACATAAAAAAATATAAATTAAATTCGGATATTTTCCAATATACTTCTTTCTAACCAGCTCTCATTTTTCTAACCATATTTACTGATAATACCTTTATTACTAACATTTCTTTAACAAAAATAATTGTAACGGTTACGGTTGTATCGGAAGGAAGGAAGTTGATAAGAAAATAGCGTGATATTTATAATTTTATTTTCATGGTTTTGTGAATATCAGGTGAAAATGTTAACACGCCATTAGACCGTTACAATATAAATGTGTTGCCAATAACGACAACAACCATCGTGACGTATGAGTGAGTGTTCGCAAATGTTTAAAAATAAATCATACGGCCTAATGGACGGGGGACATGAAATCACATTTTGAATGGTTTACTGGTATTGCATTGCATTGCTAAACTCTATGTTCAACGGATTGTAAGTAATAACAGGGAAATTGTGCAGGTCTACGATATATGATTGAAATATAATCGTGTGGTTACGAGTGACACATTGTTTAATTATAAATTGCGATATTACCAAAGGGATAGTGACCGCATTTTTTATTAGTTAATAAGAAGGGCTATTAAGAAGAAAATTGAATGAGTGATTGTTATAGCCTACACCACCATGTTGCATAGGTTACTGTGTCTTTGTGCATATGTTTTGTAACACGCAAAGGAAAATGAGGTACATACTAAGCTTTTTTTAATATATACCTAAAATCACTTTCTGAGTCTATTTATATACTGCATATGTCGACTTTATTAGTCAAATGAGTTGCCATGCATATAAGATCCCTTATATATTTTCGTCCGATTTCACATTAGTTCATCAAAGTCCATATGTTTGTTCGATTAACTCGAAATATGGCATATTTTTAATAATGGATTACAAAGAATATTTAAAAAACTACTGTATAGCCAATAAGCGTGGATTTTTAAAGAAATATTTTTGAACGGCTATCTGATCCATAAGCGTGAATTATTTCAAGAATATTTTTGGAACGACTGTTTGATCAATAAACGTTGTTTTTATACCCTTCACCACACTGTGGTACATGGCCTTATGTCTTTGTGCATATGTTTGTAACAGGCAAAAATAATCGAGATAGACCCATGGTTCCTTTTGAGAATATGCATAGAATCACTTTCTGAGTCGATTTATGCATGTCCGTCCGTCCGTCTGTCTGCCCATGTTAAATTGTAAACAAAGTACAGGTCGCATTTATTATCCGATTTGGATGAAATTTGGCGCAGCTCATTTTTTTGGCCCAAGGAAGAACCCTATTGAAATTGGGAAAAATCGGTTCAGATTTAGATATAGCTATCATATATATTTTTGTCCGATTTAAGGAAAATGACGAACAAAAGTCCCTATATATATTTCGATTTGCACGAAATTTTGCACAGCGTAATTAATAAGGTATAGAATGATGTGTGCAAAATTTCGTGAAAATCGGTTCAGATTTAGATATAGCTCCCATATATAGCTTCGCTCGATTTTAGGTAAATAGTCCAATCAAGTCCCTGGAAATCTTTTGATTTGCACGAAATTTGGCACAGCGTAATGAATAAGGTCTAGAATTATGTCTGAGAAGTTACGTCAAAATCGGTTCAGATTTAGATATAGGTCCCATATATAGCTTCGCCCGATTTTATGTAAATAGTCCACTAAAGTCTCTGGAAATCTTTTGATTTGCACGAAATTTGGCACAGCGTAATGAATAAGGTCTAGAATTATGTCTGCCAAATTTCGTGGAAATCGGTTCAAATTTAGATATAGCTCCCATATATATTTTCGTCCGGTGGTGCACTTAAGTCCCTATATATCTTTTGATATGCACGAAATTTGGCACAGCGTAATGAACTAGGTCTAGAATTATGTGTGCAAAGTTTCTTGAAAATCGGGTCAGTTTAAATATAGCTCCCATATATATTTTCGTCCGATTTAATGTAAATGGTCCACCAAAGTCCCTATATATCTTTCGATTTGCACGAAATTTGGCACTGCGTATTGAATTAGGTCTATAATGATGTGTGTTAAGTTTCCTGAAATCGATTCAGATTTAGATATAGCTTCTATATCTGACCATATGAAAAATTTAGTATCGGTTGCAGAATGACTTGTTTATGGATCCGATTTCGTTTTACTGATCCTTTAAAAATGCGACGTCTGTTAGGATTCATCTTTTGAATATACCCAAAGTGGTGAAGGGTATCATATAGTCGGCCCCGTCCGACTTTACTACTTTCCTTACTGGTTATATCCTACACAACTATGTTGTCAGGGTATTATAGCTTTGTGCAGCCCCAAGAGTTTGCAACGCCGCGAAATATTGGTCCTAGACCCAACTTTAAGTATACCGATCGTCATATCTCGACTAGCTGAGTCGATCTAGACATGTGTGTCCGTCCGTGCGTCCGTTCGTCCATTATAATTTGTAAAAACGATACAGGCCACAGATGTGGACCAATCTTCTCGAAATTTTGCATGTAGGATGGGTTCTAGCCAATGAAGACCCCTATTGGTTTTGGGAAAGATCGGTTAATATTTAGGGGTTGAAATGGATCAACAACTTTATTTTTGTCTGATCGCTCTAGAGGCCCCAATTATGGCCCAAACATCTCGAATTTTTACAAGGAGAAGGGGATTGGACCAAAGAATAAGCATGCCTGTTTTGATAAAGATCGGCCAATATTTAGCGGGTCAAATGGACCCTGATTTTGTGTGAAAAATTACAAAAGTTGTAAGTGCTTACGTATTCAGATATTATTTAGTAAATCATTACCACACTGGAGGGCGGAAATATAGCGCTGATCGCCTTGAAATATTTCATGATATTTCATGATTACAGGACAACGCCTGTAATTTTCGGGGATGAAGTGGACCAAAAACATTTTTTTTTTGTCTTTACGAGTCGATCTATAGGCCACAATTATAAGCCGAACATCGCAACACAAGAAATATTGCCCAGGCTCGGAATAAACATCAGCAGAAAGTTAGAGTTTCGTGGTAGTTGTTTAGGGTAGTTGTGTATGATCTCTTATTTCTTTAAGGAATTTAAAATTACCATTCTATTCTACCCTTATACAACAATAATAACATATTCTGATTTCGATGAATTATTTTTATTTCCAGAGCGATGTAATGCTGACGTCACACTTTCATTTAATGCAATACAAATGTATGATGAAACAACATATAGAACAACATTACCAACATATACACCACCACCTTGGATAGAACCATATGTAGATCCCACGACACCACGTAATGTTACTGCTTTAATGGGAAAGACTGCCTTTTTGAATTGTCGTGTTATTAATTTGGGAAATAAAACTGTAAGTTATTTTTAAATCATAATAATTTATTTAAACTTTTACTGAAAAGACAGACGAAATGAATTATATATACCATTTTCAGGTTTCATGGATACGACATCGTGACTCACACATTCTCACCGTTGGCACATACACCTACACATCAGATTTACGCTTTCAAGCGTTACATTTTAGTGAAATTGGTGATTGGACGTTACAAATCAAATGGGTACAAAAACGGGATGCCGGAACGTATGAGTGTCAGATATCTACTCAACCGGCAAGAAGTTATTTTATTCATCTAAATATTGTTGGTAAGTCTTTTGTTTTTTTGCTTCTACCAAATTCCCTTGAAATGTGTTAAGGAATTACTTATAGAGGTTGACATGGTGCAGTTCGTAGATTGACTGTTTGGCAGAGTAATTGTACCAAACGTGGAAAGCATTATTGTCTACCAAACCAAAGTTTGTTTCCATACAATGCGAGATTGCAATAACTTTTTACTTTATAGTTTCGAATTCCACGTGAGATTTATTTATTATAAAAAAAACTCTTGACAAAAATAAAGTTTAATAGGGTCGGTGACATATTTTCTAGTCAGATCAAAAATCCAGCTATTCATAGTTGGTCTTTTATTATTTTTAAATAGCAGAGTTTCATTTTTAGCCTTACAATGATTTTTTATTAATATACTCCGGTTTCAATATATTAAATTATATCTTCGATATTGACAGCTAATTTTAATGAGTGAAAACAAGAAACCAAGTGTAGAAAAAGTAAGGGATAATAAGACGAAACTAATGAAAAAACCTGCAAAATCTAACTTGGTTGATTAGATGCGAATGAAAATGACTTGCAGAAACATACACAATATCATATCCTTTCTATTAAGTTTAACTCTTTTAATTAAACCAGTGAGAAAAGAACCCAAGTGTTCATTCAGTTTCTAGCTCAGACCCCAGGATAGCACCCATAGCTTTTTGGCACATTTTTATACCCTTCACCACACTGTGGTATAGGGTATAATGTATTTGTGCATATGTTTGTAACAGGCAAAAGGAAACGAGATAGACACATGGTTCCTTTTGAGAATATGCATAGAATCACTTTCTGAGTCGATTTACGCATGTCTGTCTGTCCGTCTGCCGTCCATATATTTTTGTGAACAAAATACAGGTCGCATTTATGATCCGATTTGGATGAAATTTGGGAAAGGTCACTTATTTGGCCCAAGGACAAACCCTATTGAAATTGGGAAAAAATCGGTTCAGATTTAGATATAGCTCCCATATATATTTTCGTCCGATTTAAGGTAAATGGTGCACCGAAGTCCCTATATATCTTTCGATTTGCACGAACTTTGGCACATCGTAATGAATTAGGCCTACAATGATGTGTGCTGTGTTTCATGAAAATCGGCTCAGATTTAAATATAGCTCCCATATATAGTTTCGCCCGATTTTAGGCAAATACTCCATTAAAGAACCTATATATATTTTGATTTGCGCGAACTTTGGCACAGCGTAATGAATTAGGCCTACAATGATGTGTGCTGTGTTTCATAAAAATCGGTTCAGATTTAAATATACTCCCATATATAGTTTCGTCCGATTTTAGGTAAATGGTGCACCAAAGTCCCTATATATCTTTCGATTTGCACGAAATTTGGCACAGCGTAATGAATTAGTCCTACAATGATGTGTGCTGAGTTTCATGAAAATCGGTTCAGATTTAGATATAGTTCCCATATATAGTTTCGTCCGATTTTAGGTAAATGGTGCACCAAAGTCCCTATATATCTTTCGATTTGCACGAAATTTAGCACCGAGTAATGAATTAGGCCTACAATGATGTGTGCTGTGTTTCATAAAAATCGGTTCAGATTTAAATATACTCCCATATATAGTTTCGTCCGATTTTAGGTAAATGGTGCACCAAAGTCCCTATATATCTTTCGATTTGCACGAAATTTGGCACGGCGTAATGAATGAAGTATAGAATTATGTGTGTCAAGTTTCCTGAAAATCGGTTCAGATTTATTTATAGCTCCCATATATATTTTCGACCGATTTAATGTAAATGGTGCACCGAAGTCCCTATTTGAGAATATGCATAGAATCACTTTCTGAGTCGATTTACGCATGTCCGTCCGTCCGTCTGTCCGTCTGTCCATCCATGTATTTTTGTGAACAAAGTACAGGTCGCATTTATGATCCGATTTGGATGAAATTTGGCGTAGGACACTTATTTGGCCCAAGGACGAACCCTATTGAAATTTGGAAAAATCGGTT